AGACCTGCGGCCAGGAGCCCCAGGCCCTGACGCCCAGCAGCAAGCTGACCGTGGACACCGACGCGCTGACGCCGTCCAGCACCCTCTGCGAGAGCAGCGTCTCCGAGCTGCTGACGCCCACCAAGGCCGACTGGGCCGTGCACCCCGACTCGGACTTCTTCGCGCAGGAGGAGGAGGACGACACCCAGTTCGGCTTCTCCCACCCCGCGGGCAGCCACGGCTGTCCGAAGGAGACGGATCTCATCACCGTGACTGGCGGCTCCTTCTTGGTATGAGCCCACGCCCTTCATTCCTCGCCACGTGGCCGACGTTCGCCATGTTAAGGATGTTCTGGGCTAACTGTGTGACTGCGGCCCTTTCTCGGGGGCCTGAGAAAGAACGTGGCCCCGGGCGACGCCTTTGCAGGTTTCAGTTCTGACCTTGAATCTGGAACTGTCGAGTTGAGTGACCCTGAGCAAGTCACTTAACCTATCTGAGCCTTAATGTCCTTATTTATAAAATGAGGTGGTTTGAATAGATTGCTTCTGAGGTCCTTTGAGCTCTGTGATTCCTTGATAATATACTTCTTTTCATAAAAAAATGACATTTTCAGTAACGGTGTGGCATGTACTTTTTTAAAAAACATGCATAAAATACACAATTATATGAGCATCTATGTTTTTGGTGTCCCACTTCAGCAGTTAATTCATGAACAATTTTGTTTAATCTCCACTTTAAACCTCTTGCAGTATTATTTCGGAGTAAATATCAGACATCACATCATTTTATGGTTGATTTCAACCGTTAATACTCAATATATAGTTCTATACGTTATGGGTTCTTTTAGGAAAAAACTACAATTCCATTATCATACTTAAAGTTAACAATAACTTTTTAATAGTAATAAATGTTCAGTCCGGGTTTCAATATCCAGTTTTTTCATAAATGCTAGGTTGTTTTAATATTTTGAATAATTAGAATACTATTAAGTCTCTTAAGTGTCGTCTTTATTCTTTTTTAAATTAAAATATTAACTTTTTATTTTTCAATTATATTTGTCATACAACATATTTCACTGTACAACATAGTTACCTGCCATTTATATAAGTTACAAAGTGATCACCCCCAGAACTGTCTTGTTAATCTATATATTTCCCCCTTGCCTACTTTTCTTGCAGTTTTATTCCTTGAAAAATTGAGGTGGTTTTACATGTGGCATTTACCACAGTCTTAAGTTTTGTTGATGACATCCCCCTGGTGTTAAGTTCCTCTTCCCTCTGTTTCCTTAACTTTATAGTTGGAGCTAGGGAGTTGGTCAGACTGGAAATATGACTTTTTGTGCAGGCATGTTTTATAGGCTGTGTTGTGCTCATTTATCAGCACATAATGTCTGGTGTTAATTTCAAGATATCCACAGCTGCTGCTGTTCATTGCATTGATTCATGATTACTTGTGCTTCTGAATATCATGAATTGTTCTTGTAGAGTTACTATTAGCGGAGGAAGATATGCTGTTTAAGGCATTTGTAAGAGATTAATAGAAATATTATTCAATGCCAAAATATTTTCTTAAGTAATGATAGAACTAGCGAGAAAAAAAGATAACAAAAATATGTTGGCTGCCCTCACCGTTTATCTTTCTGACCTCTTTTGAAATGGGAGGCTTCCTTGTAGAAATGGCCAGCCAGGTCTTTGACATGAAATGGACCCAGGGTCAAATTTGTGATGGACAAGTGGCCTTGAATAAATTAGTGTCACAAAGCCTCAGTTTTCTAGCTGTCAAATGGTCATAGCAATGCACACACGTAGTTAACACACCTTAGACTTTTCCAGTTATATTAATATGTAAAGAAAAATATTTGTGTTGATGTATTTTGATGAACTTATATAATCTTTTTACCCTCTTATTCCTTCCTGCTATAAGGGAAAAATTGGAGTAATTTAGTCCTATTTATGTTCAGACAATAAAGTTTTTAAGGGTTAAGGTGAAGCAGGATAGGGAATCTATGTATTCCTTCCAATGAACAATTTCCTCCCCAGGAGTTTCTGTGGGGAAATGCTAGGAGACATTCCTCACAGTTACTTCCACATCCCTCTCCATTAGATAAATTTGACACCATCTTCGCTCTGTTTCCAAAGTCAGACTTCACCGTGACTGTGGATCCTGCTGTTGCATGAGTCACTGATAATGGAGCACAGGGTTCCTCCTGTCTGGTCTGGAGAGCTCATTGTTTGCACTTGCCCAGAGTTGGAAGGAAAGATTGAATTTGAATATTGTGTAAATTGTCACCTTATGTGAGTATAGCATTTTGAATTTTTTGTCTTATTTTTTTCTTTATTGATTAAGATATTACATATGTGATCCTGCTGTTGCATGAGTCACTGATAATGGAGCACAGGGTTCCTCCTGTCTGGTCTGGAGAGCTCATTGTTTGCACTTGCCCAGAGTTGGAAGGAAAGATTGAATTTGAATATTGTGTAAATTGTCACCTTATGTGAGTATAGCATTTTGAATTTTTTGTCTTATTTTTTTCTTTATTGATTAAGATATTACATATGTGTCCTTATCGCCCCATTGCCCCCCCCCCCCCACCCACCCCCCCCCCCCCCCCCCCCCCCAACACAGACCTTCCTCCACCTCCACCTCCACA